AAAAATTTAATTTTGCTAGTACATATGATCTATTAATAATTTGAAGTACTCTAAAAACTAACGTTTTGCAGATTTTAATTTTATAATACAAGTGAACAAAAGCTTATGTTTTTACTTTCAAAATAACAGATCAATTATAATGTGATACTATAGGATCCAATAACAGCAGACCTCCATACACAACACAAGAATTGATGCAGTTCTGTACTTGCACCAAATGTGACCTGGAGACAATAATCACTACAGGCTGCCCTCAAAGAAAAGAAGACTTTCATCCTCTTGATATCAAACGACTTTCACAAGAACAGAGGCAAGTATACTTGTATCATGCAATAAAAGAAATACGTGAAATGAAAAAAGAATGGACCAATACTTACGATACAATCACGCAATCAATATCAAGAAATACTGGGATATCCCTGATTCATTTAAGAAAAACCATAAAAGCATTGGATTGGTTTGGAGCAGCTAAAGACAAAAACTCTCGTCTCCAGCGACTGAATGAGTGCCAAGACAAGGAAAGCATATTTGATGTGTATATAGAAATATGCTCATGGCTCAACCATCATCCTCTGGGAGACCTAGCAAACAAATTTGGAACAGAAAATGACAAACAAGTGTATGAAAATTATGTTGCCAAAACAGAACGATTCCTGCGCCACTCAATAACATTATTCACTGACTTGTGCAGTCAGGATCTTGGAGGAGCAGTCACTGAAGTTAAACTGTTTCGCCTCAAGTTAGACACTGAGCTAAGCCATGATGTGCTGGATGGTACCATCCTCCCATTCCTTCAAGGAGAAGTAGCCAAACTTCTCAGCATACCCCAAATGAATCTCTACATTTTGTCGCTTAGAGAGGGCTGCCTTGAAGTTGTTTTCTCGATTCCTGAAGCTATGCATGAGAAATACTTTCCGCTGACGCTTGATCGCTCAAGGGCATTGGAAAACTTGACTTATGAGCCAGCAGGATTGAAATTCAAATCAATGTATTATTCAGATGTAGATGTTCATGTAAGTTAGTAGAGAATGCTCATAAAATTAATAAATTCATTAATAGGCTTGGAGTGCCAAATCTGATCAGCAAGACACATCATTTGCTGATACAAAAGGTTAGATACATACTAAAGTAATGACTTCTTACTATTACATGCATAATAACAATTTAACATACTACAAGTTTACACAGTCTGTATACTCTAAAAATCGTTTCCTTACTATTAAAAGGACAGGAACATATTCAAAACAGTTAAATATACTGTACATGTACATGAGTTAATCACAGTATCAATCATAGCATTGATACTAAAATTTTGATATCTTTGTAGAACAAAGTATCAGTTACCCAACTGATATAAAAGTCTTATCAATACCAGTGGATCACACAGAAAAGGGTAAGCAGGAAAGAGTGAAACTGTGAACACTGATATTGGTGGGACTTAACTTCCATATGTGGTAGCTAGCTCATAGTTACTATTATACATGTACATTGTACATGTACATGTAGATATAATTTCTTAAATTCACACATTATCAAAGAACAGAACAAAAAAGCTAAAAAACAAAAAGTACATGAATTTTGTATAGTAAAAGTTTACAAAGGCTAGAACTTTGTACAAAGTGCCAGTAAAGAGGCACTTAGTCACTGGATTTTGACACTATTCAATACTGAACTATTATAGTTGCTGTGTAGTGCGTAGTATTTTTCATCTTGCAATTCAGTAAACTCCCTTACGGTTAACTTTTGCTTATGCCTGATAAAGAAATTATACAGAATAGCTATCAACAATATTCCTTTACTCCTTAATTATAAATAGCATTTGATGTTTCATTGACTAGAGCAGCAACAAGTGCACTTCTATTAAATGAGCAATAAGCATACATACATATAATGCCCTCCTCCTACTCATGCATCATATACAATACTTACTGCAGACTTTAAACTACGTGTAGCTCTCATATACGTAATATATCATACATTGTATTTCTAAACTACAGACACAAATGTCGGCCGGGTATAAGGAATTGAAAAAAAAAACATTAACTAAACATAAATTGAATTTTTATGTACATGTACATGAACATGTACTTGTAACTGTTAGAAGCAACTATTTGAAAGATGCAGTCAACTCAATATAATGTGTTTACGATTAGGCACATCAATTTTATGACAAACCTACACATTTTACATCTACATCTACATGTAAGTACAGTAACAAGTATAATTAATAGGTAAAACAAAAAGCAACAACATCATAACCGATGATATACAATGCACACCTGATGTACATGTATATGATGTGGCAAGAAAGCATCAGCTGGGTTTAAAATATCACAAAGATGAAGATAACCCTTTTGATATCACAGGAACATATTTATTAGACAGAATGAGTGAACAAAAGGAGGCAGACATTGAACTGGGCCATATTGTAAAGTCAGGTAATTACTAGTTAATTAATACAACATCTATCAATGTTCTCATAAGGTTGTATAAAAGGAAAACGGCCACAAATACAAGCATCAATGACACACTCCTTTTCAGAATTGGTGGAGTCAAATGATTTTGGATGTCCAAATTTAAAAAGACAAAAAAAGGACTAATGACTTAATCACTGTTACATGTACTGCATATCTCAATTAGTACACACACTATTAATATTATTATGTAGTGTTGTTGTTTATCAATAGTGTTGTCAAGTTGTCCATGTATTTGAATGAACTCATAAAATAGAATTTTATTTGTGGGTTAGTGGCTTACCACAAAATACAAACCAAAAATTAATGAAGTGTCAATTCATTAGGCTTCAACTATATTCATTAACAAAAAGTTCCCTTCACTTAAGACACAAGGTAAATACTCAGGACAGAGATGTGAGCAAGATCTTATTAATAAATAAGACCAAGGTATAATGCTAACTGCATTGAGTAGAAAAATGGTCACATGACTCATGCAGTTGAGTAAAGTAGCATTTCTGACATTGTGTAGGTTACAATGTTAATAATAACTACAATAAGCACACAGGAAATCAAAATGGCTCCACAAAATTTCCAAAAATTGTAAAAGCACTAAGGTGCATACACTCAATCTGTAATTAAAAATAGTTTGCTTAGGTTTCAGAGAAACATGCAGTTGGTATTATTTCTTTAACTCTGGAGAAATGCCTTGTGTGAAGTCTGTGAACTAACTTGAGTTACCTCAAAAAAGTGCATAAGCTACAAAGGATTAAAAATACATGTAATTAATTAAGCTACATGTCATAGCAAGCGATTTTAATTTTTTTAACAGACATACAGTGTATCGTCTATACATACCGTAAATGTAGGAGTACCTCTGCTTATGTTGTTCATGCCTAACTGCTGCAGAGTAGTAATTATAATAATTGGTATTATAAAGTTAATTCTTCATGAGAACATACTGTCTGGAACAACTTAGGAACTTTGACAAAACAAAAAATCAAGATCTACATGTGCCACCTGTGAGCTATGTAGATCTTGACTTTGTGGCAAGGATTTAATCAAAACAAGCATTTCCAAATTCTATAGTGACCCCTGGCATGAGAAAATCTGCCACCTGCTAGCAAAAAATACTAATTAAGTTATGGTAACGTCTTGCAGCTTATGCAGGATTTCGCTTTTAGTTTGGGATTTTCAATTATAGACAAATACTGTAGTTTATTAACAAAATGTTAAAGTAGCTTGTAATGTCTTAAAATACATGTAGCTCAAAAATGACATCCCTATTTCAAAATATGTACACATGTACATGCCAACACATCACTAGCAATTAAAATATGCTGAAGTCAAAATACATACATGTACTTGTATACATGTACATTGTATGTGCTTTCATGAAACATTTATAGCCCTTGATAAAAGGAGACCTACTGTATGCCATAACAGAATTTTCAGGCATCAAACTTTCTTGCTAGAGACAATGCCTATGGCTTCTGTCAACTTATGTCAAATTGGTATTTATGCTCCTACACACTGTCTGAATGCTGTGTAGCTGCAACAACAATGACAAGTTACATGTACAATATTAGCATTAAACATTCAAAGGGTTTCATCATTTTTACTAATTTTTAAAAAAGCAATGAAATGTCACAAACTTTTCAAAATGCAGGAGCTACAATAAAGATAAGAAATGATAAACCAATTCAATTCACGCAATAAATTTACACGTAATTACAAAAAGTATCATACTGTGCAGATTGGTAAGATACATGTACATGTACATGTGTAATTCCAGGTCACATAATGGGATCAGAGGGAAACTAGTGTATTGTTACTAACAATAACAAAAGTTAATAAAAACACTTATAAATCAAGTTAGTAATGCAGCCAGTTAATCAAAAACAATATTAAAATAATAAAGGCAGTGAAATGTTTCACTTATACAGTAATACAGACCAGGAACTTTTCATTTAAAATTTTCGATTAAATTTCTTTTAAATTCATGTCAACTATCAAGTTACATGTGATAATGTACAAAAGCAGGTTTACGATATGAAATTAGGCCAACGCACCGTCAGTTTTTAATCAAAAGCATGGGCGATTTGATCTATTGACACATGCTTTTTGCTAGAATGGAACCAGATTCTATTGCAGCGTCAATGTAATATCAGGGCTAGTGTAATATTGTAAACAAGCCTTTACATATGCTATGCATGAACAATGTTAACAGGGATACACGAAAACATTATGTCACACAAAAAGCAGCCATACATGTATATGTGTATGTAAACTAGTAAAAGTAACAATTGGTATAACAGTATTATTAAGACAGTTTCTAAAACAATAAAAATTGGCTGGAAAAAACAATTGTGCTTAGACAATAATCACCAAATAATTTTAAAGAAAACTGGCTTCAATCAGATGGTATCAAGTAAAAAGATCACTGCTAATGAATTATCATTACACATTACAACACTATGCTAGCATTTTTGAAATTATTAAACCACCAATTGTCAAGAGTACACTAATTGTAAGAGTGATTAGTACCTCATGTATCCGTTCTGATATCTGGACAGGAACAGGATCAAATGTTATCTTCTTACTAGACGCTGGCTTCTTTGAATATGATGATCCTTCTAAAGATGTCAGAGAAGACTCAGTATCTTTAGAACCTCCTAAGTGATAATTGTACAAGTTAAAGTTACAGAACATATCACAATGAAACAGTGTAATCTAGAAACTATGAACTGATATGTCCTTATAAAGAGTTGTCATTAAGTTAAAGGTTTTATACTGTCTCCTATTTTGTCATATAATGGGGCAAATTTAGATTAATAATATTTATTCATTGACATGAGATTGAAATCACTAATATTAACCACTATTATATAAGAATCAATAAAAGATGTG